GGGGAAGCAGCAGGTGAAAGTAGAATTCTTGGAATTTTTAAGGGGAGGTGGAGATGTCACTGATTTCGGCTAATATCTCTAGAAAAACAGGGAAAATAGGAAGCTAAATTGCATGTTGCTGAGTAAGGATCTAAATCAGGAACTTGGCGTTCTTGATGAAGTCGAACAATATTCTGAAGAGTAGAAGAAATCCTGAAAGAGTTATTGAACTTTAAGGGCCCAGAAATTATCACGATCTTACTGTGTAAAATAATATATTAACACACGATCATAAAGGAGAAGGATTTATAACCTGGCTGAGCTGCTTTGTGAGTAATCTAAGCTCGTCTTGTTCTTGTCTCACCCTTTGTGCCCATATCTGCTCCTTTTTGGCACTGGCTTAAATTCTAACGAGCCGAAAGATAAGGAGACAGGGGAGGAAAGTCAAATAATTTCACAAAGGCTTCTCTTTGGTTACGTTAAGTGCTGGGTCCTGTGGAGGAACCTCTAGAGTGACCCAAAGGAAATCTCAGCTCCATGCACAGATGTCAGTCGTCTCGTCTTTCCTGGTAATCTCAGTGACCTCCTAATAGGTCCTTAACCAGTTCCTGGAGGCCTTGAAAGTACAATAAGTATGTTTGTCTGGATTGGTGTCAGTTATTTAAGCACAGGTTATGTTGCTTGCTCATGCATCATCCCCAAAGAAGCAAACTGAAGGAGGGAATATTCTATTTTTTCCGTTTTGCTTATCAGTATGAATACGGAGATGTACGGTACGTAGATACTACCGGTCTGTGGACCCAGAGGCCACATCTTCACAGACAAGCACGAGTAGGCTGCTCATTCAAATTCTCTGGCTACTACGCGGAGTTTGGAAGGTGTGTGATTCTGTTCCTTTGGTACTGCACGCGGAGAGGACGGTTCCTTGAAAGCCCGCCGGAAAATAAGGCTCAACCAAGCGTCTGGGACGGTTTGTGTGATTTTCTAAAGGCTCTCATAATCACTCCGCTTCTTCAGATTGTGTTCTTCATTAGGGCTTGGGCAAAATGTAGTGATACAAGTTCTGAGTCATATAGAGACTTGCCAATTTGCATTAATAGCTTGAAGAATCATTTGAGAGCTACTCATTTTCTCCAATTAGTGAGTAAATCAGTGAATGTAGTAGAAAGAATGGGGTATGAAATATACTCTATTTAGCTTTAGTTTCTCATTAGAACTTCATATTATAGCAGTAAACATCTTGCAGTATACATTTGTAGGGATAATGAAAACTGAGTATTCTGTCCTCACTACAAATACTCTGATGAAATAATTGTTTGAAAATGAATGTTACATGGCATTACAAAATTAATTTCTATTTTTTCAGATGGTGCCCAAAATCTAAACACACAGACGTAATTACACAGCTGGGCTTTCAGAAAAAGCAAAATAAAATGCATTTGTACTTTTCCAGGTCATGTTTTTACACCACAGTCAGTATTTCTACTTTAATTCTGTACTGTCTTTATGTAGTATGGGATCATAAACCGAATGAAAATTTATTGAAATCAAGATTCCTCACTCGTGACTCAGCAAACCCTCTCTGTCCCATTCCACATGCTAAAGCAAGGAGGGGAGAGGTGAGTCTCCTTCGCAATACACCCATGGAGAATCATGAACCAGGCTATCGTGGGTTCAGTAGAAGACACTTTGGGGCAGTGAAGCAAAAGTCTAGGGAAAATAGGTTTTATTCAGTTTGTAGAGATCTGGGATCTGGAGCTGTGAAATACAGAATACTAGAATGCTTTGGGATGGAAACAGAATGCCTAGAAGATATCTTTAGGTATCTCTGGAACCACGTATCGGTGTTGAGCTCTTTGAAACTGAAAGATGAGAAACGGGGAAGCGGGTTTGAGATGAGTAAAAGGGAAGGATATGCTTTTCCCTTTACCTGTAGGGTGGCCGGGGAGAGACAGAAACTTGCCCTCTGGGCTCCGGGCAGGCAGAGACAGCGTAGAAACTGGGCAGGCAGGGAGGAGGCGTGGAAGCCCTGGGCTGTAGAGGTGGACAAGTGAGAAGGAAGAGCTCCCGCGGGACTAACAGGTCACCCCACCGGGCAGAGATCTGTCGAGGCGAGCGGCAATATCAGGAATCCTAAAATAGGAGTTTTGTGGCCAGGAGCCCCAAGTGTTAAGGTCAGGAGCGCTGCAATTAGAAGCTGTGAAAGCAGTTCTTCACTGAGAAGAAGGCAGACTTCACCGTGCCAGCGGGAAAAGGCAGCCTTGACCTTGCTGAGGGGAGAAAATCAGGGAAAGCTTTTTCAGTTTGGGCACTTTTGCCCATAAACCGTGGCATGCTGTTAAAATTTCCAAAATAAGGCAAATTTTAAGAAAAAGTACACAGTAATTTTAAACTATAAATGAAGCTTAAAAGAAAAAATGCTGTAGTTTTATGTGCAAGAACTTCCTTATCTCTGATCGCTGTAATTTCAGGCACTCTTCTGGATCTGGAAATCCAAAACCATTTAGCACTTCTTGGTACTAAACGGTCATGAAGTCACGTGTGTGTTGTTTATGGTCTCTTAATCCAGGATTTATTGTCCTGATATTGTTCCAGAACTAGAGACTTGAGCTGATTAAAAAAAAAACGAAAAGAGATTCTTAAAGCTTTTAAGCAAATTGATTTTGTCCGGCTTGAAAATTCTCGTATTCCCCAAATTTATATGAGTCGGTGGGATCCTTCTGTTCATCCGTGTAATACTCGGTGCAAGGAGGATTTTACGAACGGCACATAGTACCATTTAAAAACCTGCTACGTTAGACTTTAATATTAAAATACTGATGAGGCGGGTGGAAAATTACTATTAGTTACACCTAAGAGGTTACTGTTTTACTTCTGGAGCGGGAAGGAAAAGCGAAACAGGTTTACCTGAGGTTTTCTCTGCGCTTTTCTCTACAAGTGCAATCAAAAAACCCCAATCTGTTGGTCATTCCCTCTGCCACCTCGGTCCCTATGCTCGTCCAAAGGCAACTCAGCCCAACCTTACCATTAGGAGGCTTTTCTTGATATCTAACCTTGATTTTCTCTCCAGTAACCTTTGTAAACTATAGAACCATAGAATCGTTCGGGTTGGAAAAGTCCTTTCAGATGAAGTCCAAGTGTAACCTCGTGATGCCAGGTTGTCCACTGCTCAACCTGCTGTTTTCTGTTTTAGTCGTCATGAATGTGCAGAACAGACCTTTACCCTTTTCTATGCAGACTTCTGTCTTCTTTTCCTTCAGTTTTCCCTTTCCAGCCAGAACAACGCCAATTACTAGTCTTCTCTCCAAGAAAAATAGCTTCCCAAGGGAGAAGTATTTCTACACCAGCGCCAACCATTGTCTTTATTACAGCAGAATGAGCTCATTGACCCGTGGCCCTAACAGACCACTCTGACATTCAACTCCTTTTTTCTGTGGAATTTCTAACTCGTCATAGTTTGTTCTCCACTGCAGTAGTGGAGAAACCTGTGTTTATCCTTCCTAAATGACATTTCCAGCTCTTTTCTCCAGGGTAACAAGAACCTTGGAAGTGATGATCCTGTTGTGTGGCATACTTGTAGACCATCTTGTTCATGCTGTCTCGAACTAGTCCATCCTTCAAGTCGTTACTGAAAATATTGGATAATACCTGCTCAGTACAGACCCCTGTACAAAGCCACTCCAAATACGTGCCCCTGCTTTGGCGTTGAACTGCTGTTAACTCTTCTCTGGGCACCTGTTTTTTATTATATGTCCCAAGATCATTGATGAAAGAACCAGAATATTAAGCAAAGCAGGATTAAAAATCTTGCTACACTTATATATCATATGGCATGCGCAACATAAATGACATTTATTGCCCGAGCAATCGTACCCAATTTGTAAATGCAAATGGTGACTGAAAAACGCGATTTCATTTCACCTGGAAATTACTGGAATATTTCTGAAGCAAGTTTGCTAGAAAGAATAATATTGGCTTCCTTGAAACAAGGTTCTTGGTTATCACAGTATTTGAATTAGGTCTGACCACTCCTGTAAATGCACAGGCTTATTGTTCATTGGGACAGCATGCAAGACAAAAAAAAAAATAATTAAGGCATGTTTGAAGTCTGGTTTGTGGTTTGTCTTCTAGCTTAAAGTTTTCCAAAGTATAGGTGATTACGTCCTGCTAGGTTAGGTGGCAATCTATAGAATATTAAATAATTCTAGAAGGGCTTTTTAACAACCTTAAAAACTCTTAAAAGAATGTTATTAGCCAGGTAGACTGCTCACGTCCATGCCTTTATTTCATAATGATTTTGCAGCTGATGAATTAAAATTGTTTACAGTAAAGTCTTCTAACGAGAAGAAAGAACTTATGATTGTAATGAATTTGCCTGTAGTCTGATTAACTTAGGAGAATTTTTTAAAACTACTGTATTGTCTAGGGTGGATTGTTTTAAGGACTCTAGGATATTCTAATGAATGTTGATAATTAAATGATAGGTGAAGGTACTGTATGGTCAGAAATGTAGTTGTTACTTTGCAAGCGTGAGTTCCTTTATGTCTGATGATTTGCAATGTTTTATGTATTACAAAATTCTGTGTAGTATGTTAAGGCTTTGTCATCTCTGCTCAGCTTGTCGAGATCTGTGGACTTGATGGTCTCAGGAGAATGATGTCTTGGCTTAATTGAATGCAAGAAATGGAGGAAACTCTTGCTTTCCTGTCAGCTTTCATAGAACTTTATTGCCAGCTTTACCATCCATGAGCGCTTCAGCAAGGAATAGCTGTATTAATAATTAGTGTGTCTATTGCCTCCGTGAAATATATGTCGAAAGAAAATGAGTGGGAAGGCACACGAAGTTTTGTGGGTTTAAATGGCATCGAACATTGCCATAGTAAGTTAAAAAATAGAGTTGATTTCCTGACATACTTAAAACATTCCAGCTAGGCGAACACAGCTGTGTATTTATTTGGGATTGGTTATTACTGGCATGTTCCTTTTTCTCATTATGACATTTTCTCGTGTGTTCTCCCTAGAATGGCTTTACTCCTTTGTATATGGCAGCTCAAGAGAACCACATTGAAGTGGTGAAATACCTCCTGGAGAATGGAGCCAACCAAAGCACAGCTACCGAGGTGAGGTACTTTGTTCTTTTTTCACACACGCTCTTTTTTTTTAGCTTTGCCTTAATATTCAGATTGTTTAAAGGCAGAAGATTTTTGAAACGCAGTACTTGGAGTACTTTCACATTTTCATTTCAAGGAGTTGTATTTGTGAATCTTTGTTTTGTTTTTCTTACATGCACACAAGAAAAATGTGAACTGCTCTGGAAGGGGTGAAAAGGCAAAGGAGGAAATCAGCCTGATTCCTTTGACAGCAGAATTTCCACTGCCTTTAGTGAGCCCAGGATTTTCAGTTCAATTTGTGCCCGTTTCTCCTATCGCCTTCCTGGAGAATTTTCTGAAAAGAATGAATGAGGCTTCGGAAAGAGGTCCCTAGGGCTGTGGAAATTATAGGAGGCCAAGGTGGTCTTGTCAGGGGTAGAAGGGAGCCTCGGGAGGTCACTTGCTCCAACGTCCCTTTCTCCTACGTGAGGAGCCATAGCAACTGGACTTCCTTGACCAGCTCAGTTACTCTGAATCTGAAGGTTGTCTGCTAGTTGGTGTAACCTGGAAACGTGCGTTATCATCTGTGATTAGCATGAAGTGGAAATGAAATGACTAACGAGGATCACATCCATGAGCTCGGCAGGCAATGAGCTCTTTTCTCCTCTAACACTTTGTTTCTACTGCCAGGCCGTGTGGGTATAAATATGCAGAAGGATGGTATTAATCATTAGGTTCTGGACTAACTGCAGTGTTGTAAACCTGTTGTAACTTCAGTGCAAGCAGGGCAGCGTTTATAGTCGCTGTCCTTTCCTTACAACCACACTGCTAGTGTTAACAGCTGCTTTACTCTCCCTTCTTTCAATGGATACTGTACCATTCGATGACAGCTCCTAAAATAATCCCGCATACACGGCGATCACGTTACATGTCAGCTTTCTGAAATATGAAATCCTGTGTGATTGCCAGGCAACGTGGCAGAAACACACGCCTTGTGAAGGAGCCGAGGGGAGTCGCAGCTCTCCGGGAGCCCAGCCCGGCTACAGCCCACAGCCTCCTGCTCTGGCAGCCTTTCTCCCAGTGACTTTTACTGGCTGTGCTGGAAATTCCTCCCTTAGCTGAGGTGATGGTTTCAGTGATTTGACTTTTACTGAAGGGTAGCCCGTGTCACTGTCTGCTTTCATGGGTGCCCAGAAATAATGTGGGCTGGCACCCTGAACCGAGCATGCCCCCGAAATACCTGGAGAAAGGCTTTCTTTTTGGCGTCGAAGATTGGTTGTCCTCATGTGGGGAGGTGGGAAAATGAAATGCTTTCTCCGCGCTCCGGCCAGCTGTGCTTGCCAGAAGCAAGAGGAGAGGGAATGCAGAGAGAGTTGTGGCCTTTGGAGAGACTGGTGCAAATCAAATGGATGGTCTTGTCTTTGCACCTTTGAAACTCGCACTGCCTTTGGATGCTTCCCGTTTCCTCTAACGCTTATACGCGTGTATGTACAAAATGAGAGTAAGGATGAGCTCAGTTTCACAGGCCCTCTAATCCAGGATTTGTTCTCATGTTCCCAGAGGCAAAAGGCAAATGCATTAAGCCATTTCAACACCTAATGTAGCCCCAATCTCAGAATTATCTTTCCAGTTCAGCTGTTTCGTCAGCTGTTCAGCCTTTTTTAATTCACTGCACAGGATTTAATCTCTATTTCAGAAAGAAACCGTAATAGTATCGCTGTTACAACACACCTACCCACAGTTCTAGGCAAAAGGGAGTGAATGTTATTAGATTACTTAGGGGAAAAATCGCTTTGGCAATTCTTCAGATATTTCTTTCAGCATATGTTAGCTCTCATTCCTTCCTAACTTGTCCTTTATTATTTCATCATCTTTCTATATTCCTATTCCAAATCAATTCTGTCTCCCATGCCTTTGCAAGGTGGCTCAATCAGCTTTCTCACTTCCTGGCTATAATCAACTCTCCAGTTGTACCTTCCAACCTAGGCATAGGAGACCTTGTTTTATTTTCTTCCCTTTTCTCGGGGAAGACTCGGAGAGCTGCTCTGTTCCTCAGGGTTCAGCTTCCCTCCCATCTCGCACGTGTGTGCTTGTGCAGGGTGCAAGACTGGAGCTGGATTCAGTTTTATACTCAGAATAAAAGAAAGGGAAGCAGGCAGTACTTCAGCTGAGGAAGCAACTTGTGAGCATATGATGCATTTTTAAACTGATTTTAAAACTATGAATGAAGAGCAGAGAGATGTTTCTGACTTTGTTTTTCCAAAAAAGCACAGATAATCTACTGTTTTCCTGCTTCAAACTAGAATAAATTCTTATATGTGATCTTACTTTCTGGCCTCATAGCCTGTAAATTACAAAGGGCAACAGCAGCAAATGCAGCCCAAGATACGGGTTTTTTTTCAGAGATGCGAGATCTTCAGAAACAGGTTCCCTGTATATTTTTCACATCTCTTGTGTTCAGTGCTCACTAATCCTTACGGAAGTACTGTTAAAAGTATGCTTTGTTGCCCATTTTAAGATGAGAAGTAATTAAGAGAGATGCTGTAGAACGATCCTTTGCTTGTGCTCGACTTCAGGGCTGCTTTGAAGTGGAGAAGACACGGTTCTGATGTGTTTGAAATCCTATCTGGGTTAAAATATTGGGCTTCCAATGCTATTTCACAGGAGACGGAGGTAGAATATAGCCAGGAATGTGCTTCTCAGACCTTTCTGTGTGAACAGCCCATCCTTCCACTTACTGAGCACGTCTTGTTTTCTCCTCTACCAGGACGGTTTCACTCCTCTAGCTGTCGCCCTGCAGCAAGGCCACAACCAGGCGGTGGCCATCCTCCTGGAGAACGACACCAAGGGCAAAGTGAGGTTGCCGGCTCTGCACATCGCCGCTCGGAAAGACGACACCAAGTCGGCGGCGCTCTTGCTGCAGAACGACCACAATGCCGACGTGCAGTCCAAGGTAACGGCGCGCCGCCGCCGAGGTAACGGGGTGGGCACGCGGCCGAGGGCCGACGGGCACCAACATTTACTTCCTTCGTCTTCATGGTTAAAGGTAATCTCTTCAGTGGGGAAAAGACAAATTGCTCAACCAGTATCACCAGTTCCCTGTCTGGTTTTGCAGTGTTCAGCTGCACAGTAATGACCAACTACTTGTTTTTTTGCTTTTTTAAACTCCACCTGCCAGTTCTTTGGTAACCGGCTTGCTCTCATGATCTGTAAGCCAGAACACGCTGGAATGGAAGCCCAATCGCTGCTTCTCTGTTTAATAGGATACTGGTTTATTGCCTATGGGAGCATAGGTTGTATTTATAGTTAATGCATGCTTGAATGGCTTTTCCCATAATTAACAGCATAACTCATTTCAAAAAGCAACATAGTTCTTCGTTTTGCGGCCAGTCTTTAATATTGTTCCTCTTCTTCCCAAACCATGCTGCATCAGATGATGGTGAATAGGACGACTGAGGTACCGAGATAAAAAATTTTTAATTACTCTTTCTGTTACTTATACTTATTTTCTCAGCTCTGTGGCAATATTTCTTTATTATTAAGCGCTAAAAGTGAAGATATAGCTCTTCTTAATACGTAGGAATTTGTGACCCAGGAAACCTATTTTTATTCATCCTTCTTCTTAGAATTTCTTTTTATTTGTGTCACTGTTGAAGGAAACTTTTGAGAATTCCCATCAGTTCAAAGAAGTCTGAAGCGAGTAATGGAGCTAAGAGGATAAAGATGCTTTTCTAGCTCAATTTCATTAATTATGAAAATGCACTCACTTGGCTTAACTAAATTAAGGTGTCTGGCTCAGCCAGAATCACGATAAAACTCATTTTCCTCCTTTTACATTAATAAACAAAATCAAATCTCCCAAGGTAAAAACTTGTTCAGAGCATCTGCTTATTTTTACCTTTGTTCTTAGCGTGATCTTTTCAATGCAGTTTTGAAAAGTCCTAAAGGGGCAGTACCGAATCACAGTGTCGTTAACACAATACACGCTGGTTTTATAGCTTGACACGTTCTGCGTGCCCGATATCATGGAATCATAGAACAGCCGAGGCTGGAAGGGACCTTAGAGATCATTTTTGATCCAACCTCCCTCTCACGGGCATATCCTCGGTAGCCCTTTCCCTGGTCGTTGGTCACGGCGAGATGATGATGAATTTAATGAGCCTTTGACTGGGCTTTGGCCAGGATCACCTGTGAGCCACCAAGGAAGGAAATGGAATTAAATAGGGAGCTGATTGCCATATCTTTTGGGAGTAAACTGATTTCAGAGTGCCTTCCTTTCCCTGTTCCACGCGTGGGTTAAAAGGATGATTTGTACACTGAAGGAAAAGAAACCTAGCTGAAAATACAGTATAGTCTAGAAGCCAGAAGTATCTCTCCCTCTCCAGCTAACAGTAAGATCTGATCAAATCAGCGTAAAGCTCTTCAGGGAACCCTCAAAAGCAAGGTCCTTGAATTACTTATGAGACTAAGAGCTTGCTCTGTGTTCTGGTCTCTGAAAAATTAATATTTTTTTATGTTGTTATCAAGCAATTGTATATCTCGTAGCTGGAGCAGGTTTCACTTTCTAGTGTTCGAGAAGCAATAAGTAAATTGTGTTTTTTTCTGTTCGCAATGTTTCTTCTGAGCCTTTGAGATCCAAAGTGTATATAAATACAGATAATTACGACTCTTATACTATGCCACTAGGTGGTTTCTCATGTAGACCACATTCTTGGGTTATGTATTCATGACCACTGCTCGTTTGTTTGGGGTTTTTTTTAAAAAAAGGAAGAAAATATCTTGTCAATATTTCTAATTACACTTGTGGTGGTTTATCCAAACCCAATAAACAGATGCAGCCCAAAAGACCCATGTTGCTTCCAAATTATAATAAGGAAACGTCCTTTGTTTTCTTAAAGAATGGCTAATATATTAATATTTTCTATTATGAAAGCTACTTTTCTGATTGGCCACTGATTCAGAAGCTGAATTAGAAAATTCATAAGAATTAAAGCACTTTCGATAACCTCCTGTATGAAAACTGCACTTTCTGCCCAAAAGGCTGTGCTATGTTAAAGCTGGATAAAACCAATACTTTTGCTTACCAGTAGCTTTTAAAATCAAGTTTTGTTGAGTTGATTATCTTGTATAAAACGATTTCTATAATAAGGGCTGTTTCCCTTTGTAGAGTGGCTTCACCCCTTTGCACATAGCCGCCCACTACGGAAATGTCAACGGGGCGACCCTTCTGCTGAAGTAAAACGTGGCGACGCTTCTGCGGACCCGAGGAGCTGCCGTGGATTTCACAGCAAGGGTACGGAGTCGTTTCTTTTTGTCCTTAGATAGGATGGCCAGTCAAAGTGGGAGTGTTTCTTTGTGTAATTCTTAGTCCAGAGGAGCAAAACAACGCCAAAATGCTGTCGCGTTCAAAGATAACTTCTTTTCTGTGGTAATTCTTCAAGGTTGCCTCTGTGCAGTGCACCAGAGTCCTTGGGAGTTGCGTAGCGACCAGTATTCCCAGCTGAAGGACGCAGGCTCCTCTGACTGCCCCCAGAAAGCTGATATTCTCACAATGTGTCAGCTCACTTCAGCTTTTCTGTCAGTTAGACGTATTCCAGAAACATATGTAGGCTTTACTGGCTCTTTGAGTATTCACGGCACTACTTTAATGTGATATTTTTGCGTGTAAAAATATTTTGGAAAAGTAAGATACGTTGCTGTCGTACAAAAGCAACATTAAAAGTACTATTTGATGGTGAACAACTCCGCCGTTGGACGTCCTGTAGTTTGAAGCGTGGCATCTGGTGCCATGAAAACCTCTGGTAATCTGTACCTCAACCCAGCAACCGGTCACAAGTCGTTCTGCTTCATTTTGCCAGACACACTTGGAATTGCTTTAGGGTTCTGCCTTTCAGGCTGACATCTCCCACTGCCGCTGTGAAGTATCTGCTCCTATTGCCCCGCTCCTCAGCCAAAAAGAGTTTCAGCCTAAACAGGACCTACTCCTTTACGCTCTTGGCGTTACGCTGAGAAGGTTCCTTCGTGTGTAGGAGTCACGCCTTTGTGTACTCTGTGTGTGTTGCGGTGATGGAAAGGCGTCACTGTTTTGTGAATCTTGACTCACTGGGGACTCTGACACGTGTTTGCTTCTTTGTCTGACTCTGGGACTGTGGTGTTTGCTGCTTCGTCAGATGCGCTGCTTCGTTTATTAAAAAGTGAACAAGCAATCAAGGTTGTTGCTTAGAAAGGAATTACTAACTCTAGCTTACATGGTGTGTGCCTGGCTCTGACGCTCAAGCACATTTTCGTTGATTCTCTACGATGTGATGGCTTTGTTTTTTTTGTGAGCCGAACGCAAATTCACCGCCATTATGCGCCTCCAAATCCGTCACGCTCATTGTTTGTTCTTTCCATGGTGTAGAATGGAATCACCCCACTGCATGTGGCTTCCAAAAGGGGAAACACAAACATGGTGAAGCTCTTGTTGGATCGCGGAGGGCAGATCGATGCCAAAACCAGGGTGAGTCTTTGTATTCCCTGAATATGCTCTTGTCCCTTTTTGGGAATGGATTGGGATTTTTTTTGCTTGTTTTCAGTTGTTGTTCTGTGGGGTTTTTTTAAACCAAAAGTAGGGAAGACGAGGATGCATAGCTAGGAATTCAGCTTCAGTAATTGTGACTTGCTCTCAGTTCTTGGAAACATTAAATGTGGCTCAGCTGAGCAAAGCTCCTGCAAAATGTTAAACATTCCCTTCTCCCTGGTTTTTGAAACTTGGATCAAATTTGAGTTGTGACTCCACATGTAATCTATAAAGAAATACTTTTCTACCTTTTATTTTCTTTTTCTTCCCTAATTCAGGATCCTTTTCAGATTTTTCTTTGATATAAGCTGTTTTCTGTGGTACCAGACTAAAGAATGGCAGGTATTGGTGACAGCAGGATGCAGAAATGCCATTTCCTACATCCACAAGAAAAAGCTGATGGAAGTGATCTTCTTGGGGAAATAAGCCTGTTAGTTGGTCCATCTTCACGTAACACAAGACCCTGGGTGCTGCACAGCAATGGGAGGTGGAGGGTCTGGACTCAGCTAAGCCTTTCAGTCCCCTGACTCCTAAATGATTTTGATTTCTAATTATTTATGAAACAATGTCTCTCTCGTGCGCCTTTTTTGTTGTTAACTACTGATGAGGGAAAATGCTTCTCATGAAGGTGTCCCATAAATCATCCCTGGCCAAATTTTCCGTGATAAATGCCTAAAACCTCATGGCAGAGAGGCATGAGATGGTAAAAATACCCTGCAGTCGGGATACTCCACATGCTCATAAGCACAAGAGTCAGACAGAAATGATCCATTTGGGCCTGTGGAATGACAGTATTGCATTCACCCATTTCCTGATCCATATTTAGATACTTGTTTTACACCAGTTCACACAGATAATGGTCAAGAACATCTTGGATTTTAAGAGGTCAAGGTGTGTTCCCCTCCCTGCTCGTCTGCCAAGCTTGTGAATGAAACCGAAAGAGCAGGACTTTGCCCGACGTAGGTGGAAGGTGCTAATTTTAGAGTCTTCTCACTCCCTTGGCTTCCTGCCCTTTGTCAGCTGCTACGTTAGCTCCAAAACTGTGTCGGCACCGGTGAAAACCCGTGAAGGTGTCCTCAAGTACAGACACATCCCTGTTCGCAAAGGCTGAGCGGCTTCTCGCCTTCCCTGCGCGTGCTTCACAGCGGGGAAGCTTCCAGAGCTTTGAGTTTGTTCTCAGTGGCCCGACCTTGTCTTCGTGCCAGCTGTTGTTCTCGTCTCAGTGTCTTTTTTTCTTTTCCCTCGGCTCTATCGGCATGCCTTGTGTGCTTAGCTGTGCCCGTGAGCACGCAGGGCGTTGGAGAGGTAGGTTGTGCCTCGCATGCCGCGCGTACGTGTGTTTTGTGCTTTAAAGGATGGATCTCCGCCTCCGCCACCTCGGTACTAACACGCTTCCCTCTCCCTACGTGCCTTTTACTTTCTTCTGAGGAACACCTGCATTCTTCCACCAGTTCAGAATCACTGAAAAACAGTAGAATTCAATGTATGAGGCTAATTCTTCGCTGGGCTTTTGTTTTCGGGTCTCCATCCCGCATCGAAATAAGCATTTTGGTTAGAAAAGTGCTCATTGCTTTCCTCCAGGTTATTTTTAACTTTATCACGTGACATCTGATGATGCATAAATGAAGACGTGAAAAATCATTTTTACGGATTTTAGATGAGCCTCAGTAATTTTGCAGAGTTGATCCGTGAAACCTTTTTACATTTGAAATTGTTCCGTTGGAATGATCCCTTAGGAGCCCCCGTATTGTCCAAACTAAGTAATTAAAATGTACATTCTTCAAAGGGAATGAATTATGCATGTGTCCTACTGTTCCATATTAATGTTGCATGTCAGAGAAAAGCCCTGCTTACTGTAGGAGTTAGGCATTTTTGTTTTCTATACATTCCATAATGTATTTGCTGAGTTTTTCTGGCATTTCTCCATAGAGAAATGGATAAAGAGGTAGAAAATATAAAGAGGTAGAATTGCTAGTAGATCTGCTTGCTACACTGAGGTATTTTAAAATCATATTTAACTTAAAGTCTTTTTGGCAAGTTTTACCGTTTTCCTCAACTAACTACTAAAGTTTTTAAAATGTCCAATTTCATTTCTCCTTTATGTTATCCAAAGCAAAACATGTCAACTCCATTCCCAGTCCTATCAGCAGGATACTTGTATTAATACTGTCTCTGGTACCTGTGTTTGTGCTCCTTCTCTTTCCAAGCAAGCCGCATCTGGAGCTTTCTTTGCTAAGTAATTTCATATGCCAGAACATTTCCTATTTAGAATCTTAGTCAAACCTATATCCTCTACAAGTTTACTCAAACTTGAGTGACACATTTGTTTAAAATTTTAACGTTTAGCGAAACTTCCGTATGACTTCCGATGGCCAAACCAATTGTGGTTGGGAATCAGTGTGCAGAAACTTGTTCTCTAAAAGACGGTGGGAAGTGCAATTTCCAATTAAATCGATGTATCGTGGCAAGTAACGGTTCTTGCTTTGGGAGCAGGGAAGCGTTTACAGCCTTCCTGGAACATCGTAAGGATTGTCACCGGGAGAATTATCTTAAGCATTTAAAAGCGGACCAATTTCAGAGTGCCCAAAACATATATATTTCTGTTAAATCTATATATACGTATTCTGATGGAATAAATAGTAACAGTAAGGATATACAGGGTGTTGAAATGTTACCGGCTATTCAAGGGGTTTAGGAGCATGCATAGTTTTCGTAACGTCTCTTCTGCATCACCTATCAGTTGCACAGACAACAAAAAAGAAGAAAATGAGGCTTTTTTAGGTTTTGTCTGCTTTTTTACCTCTAAAATAGTGTTATTCACAGCCGTTGTCACCTTACTGGTATTTCTGTTTTTGCGGGACTATGCAAACACCCTTAGAAGGGAAAAGGAGCACGTTCGCCTGTGTCAGTTGTCACGCTTTGTGTGCTCTTTCCGTTGAATCTTGCCAACATTGAGGTGAATTTTCACTTACTCCGGGACCCCTTTTGTCCAGAATATTTCTGGTTGAGAAAAGCCCCTGGAGTGAACCAGAACATCTTGGAACGGGGTAAAAAAAGCAGGTTGTGTGCGAAAGTAAACCTGTTGTTGTGTCACTTACTCCGGGACCCCTTTTGTCCAGAATATTTCTGGTTGAGAAAAGCCCCTGGAGTGAACCAGAACGTCTTGGAACGGGGTAAAAAATCAGGTTGTGTGCGAAAGTAAACCCGTTGTTGTGTGCCTGGGATGAGATGTGATCACGGTGGGGAGAAAGTCTGGTGGGACAGGAGGGTTGGAGAAGGCTGCCGAGAAGAAAAGAGGCTCAGCTGGCGCTGAAAGAAGCGGAAGGTTGGTCGCAGAGATGTACGATACCCAAGGGAAAGGAGAAGGAAGCCGTGGGGGATGGAATGGTGTTTTTTTTCCTGCCGTAATGCTGCTGTCGCATCTTCTCCCAGTCTTCACCCGCGCGCAGGGCACTAATAATTCATTGGGAGGTTCCTCAAGCAATGTCAGGTTATAAATATCTAATCACAATGCAGATATTTGCTATAAAAAATGCAGTGGATTCATAGAATGTTTACAAGGCAGCGGGGAGGGCTTTCGGGCAGACGATCTAAGCGAGCTGTGTAGATACCGTGATTTAAAATGTCTTAATATCTAATTCCTTGAGTATGTACATGGTGTATTTTTTTCCCTGTTTTTAAAATTTGTAGTTTGAATGGCAGGCCTGGAGGAATATTTTAGAGCATTTTTAATTACGCTGAGACTCTGCAAGCTCAGAGTAAGCAAGAGACTTGCATCATTCATTTTCGCAGAGATGAGGCTTAGTAGTGATGAAGTGAAATATTTGTGGAGAAAATGTTAGACAATTTTGCACGTCTAAAATACAGAATACTGAAATTTTCTTTGCCTCCTATGAAAATGAGAATATGCAGCTGCGGTTTAGATGAAGTCTTGGATAATTTGACCTTTGATGCTCCTGTGCTAGGAGTCTTCGTTCAGTTGAGCACTGATTATGTGCAATTGTCTTGTTATGATGCTGCTGATTTAATTTCTCGTTAAAAATCTCATGTAAGCACACTTTCTTTTTATCTCAGTCTCTCTGGTAAGCTGAAGTAAAGTATTTTTAATCACTGTGAAATGACCCAGTAATTTATCTTGCTGAGCCCTACAGACAGGAGTTATGAACAGAATTCAGAAATCATTTTTGCAGGTTAAAAAATGACCATTGATTGATTTCCAAGAAAAGAAGGCGAAAGTTTACTCTCTATTTTGAAAGCCATTTAAGAGGAAGTTTGGAGTCATGGAGTTCCATGGCTTCGGTAGGTACAGTGACGTATGGGAGCAACAGAACTTGGAAGGTGGAAACATTTAACTCTCCATTACGTCCTGTTTGGCATGAGGAGGCTGCTTAAAATACAAAATTGCAGGATTTCTTGTGTCCCAGTGTGGTGGCCTTTGTGTTTAGGGCACATCTGTCATCTGTGCTTCAGCATCTGTGTCTCTTTGACCCGGTGTTGTAGCGTCCTGTCACATGCCGTGTCTGCTGTTGTGGTTGGCACGTGGTCTTCGGTTTGCGGGGTGTGCCACGTAGCAGCGCAGCCATTTAAAAAGTACGTGGGCAAGCTCCTGCAAAAGATTTCGGAGCGCCGAGGCTTATTTCAAATGGCTCACGGTGCAAAAGAGGACTAATTTGGTACGCCAGCGCATGCCTCTCGGTGCGTGTCCTCATTATGCACTAATTCTTCTACTGCAACAGCTCGCTTTGCAATCACTCTCGTCTTTGAGGAAAACGTATAAGCGAAGACAGAATCTAAAGTATTAAGTGCGCAGTAATTTTAAAATATACATGCTGGTTTCCCCAGGGTGGAAAGAGGGAAGACAAGAGGCTGCAAAGCATATTCCTTCACTGACCTACTGGGAAGTGCACAGATAGTAAATGATGATGCATTTATAAGTAGCAAATTGTTATCTCTGCTTTTAGAGGGAATTATATATAAGAAGAGAAATCATGCTTTTTAATGATACAGTTCTTATTTTTGTTTTAGCCAGACTTTCTCACTGATGTGTTTCTTAGCGCGTATTTTTCTTCTTTCTCCCTCTGGGGATTTGTCCTGGTTTTTTCAAGGGTTCACACAATTCTGCCTTTCTTTCGCTGTTCTGTTACGTAGAATAACATCAAAGTTACCATGCAGATAGGGAGAGCAAGCCTCCCCCATTGATTAAACGTGTAGAGCACAAATGGCAGAAACTGGAAAGAAATACTCTATCAATACCTTTCCTAGAAGTACACTTGGGATAAATCCTCACCTAAGGAATGCTACTGGGAATTATGTGTATCATTCCCTTTGGCAGCGAGATGAAAAGGGGCTTCAGTTGTGCTTATAAAGAGTTGATTTAGGGGACTCGGAAGATTCAGCGCAAGAAAAAAACAACTAGATAAGTTAGTAACACCTGATTCCTTTACATCTGCCAGGTGCAGCCTTGATTCTGTTTGCAGGTTTCACCTGCTGAATTTCATTGCAAAACTTCCACGAGATTTATATTTTGCTACTTTTAAAACTTCTAAGTAATAAATGTATCTCAGACCAGTATATTCATCTTTTAATCACACTGTTACTGGATCCTTTGGAAAGCACCTTAGAATAACAGCATCTGAGCAGTGTGCCTCCAAGGGAGAAGGCTTTTTTGTGGTTAAAAACTATTACCATTTCACCTCTATAAATCTATGTCTGTTGAGTAAGTATTTTTGACTTCTCTGAGTGCATGATTGACTAGCATCAAGGTCTAATGAGATGAAAACCTGGTTTCTGATATCTTAGGCATTTTCTTTCGTCAGTCACTCAGCACTAACACCCTTGTGCAACCGTTTCTTGCCTCCTGCTTCCTGTATTTTTCCTCATGAAGTCCAGACTGTAGCAGAATTACCTGGAATGCCTTCTCCTAGCAAAATGTTTCATTGACACGTCTTTTCCTACCATTTCTGAGTAGCTTGAGCAAGTCATTTGGTATAGGTTGGTGTTCTGCAACAGAAAAAATACTGTGGAGTTGGTGGTTTCACAGCAATTTCAGCAAATAATTCTTACCCCTTTGTTCATCATTCGGAAAGGAAAGGGTTTGTTCTGTTTCCTTTTTTCTTTCTCTTTTTATGTCTTTTAAAATGTTGTTTCTCCTGTTGACTGTGTAAAAAAAAACAACCCAAACAACCCCACACCAACTAACACAATGCATAAATTCTAGAGTAAATTTCCTAGTAGGCGCACAGCTTGTTTCATTTCTGCATTAAAAGCAATCCGAAGGACAAGGCTTGATTAGTGGAGCATCTTGGCCCAGCAGACATTATCCAGGGAGAGGCAGTGCAGTCTCAAAGGAGGAGGAAGGGAGGAGGCAGCACATGCTCACATTCTCCTCTCCGATACGAGATTTCAACATGCAAGGGGCTTCCTCTCTGAAATGGTAACCTCGGAGTGTCCTTTAGTGGTGCAAGTAAGAATAAGGAAGAAACTTCACGTTGTGGAGCCAGCTTCAGTTAGGAGCCAAAAAAAGCAGCTTTTTTTTTTTATATGGTTGTGGGGCTGCATTCCTGGAAGAGTGTTTCTCGGAGTGCCAGGACGGACACTTGGGGATGTGCTCAGTTGTTTTCCCTCCTTTTACTTTAAGGATGGACTCACCCCGCTCCACTGCGCTGCGAGAAGTGGACATGACCAGGTTGTGGAGCTGCTCCTGGAGCGAGGTGCCCCGCTGCTTGCACGGACCAAGGTGAGTGTCTCCTTAGCATAAGGTCACAGCTCTGTGTAACTCTGCCCAGAATTTTCAGTGTCACTGAAAGGACAAGGAAGAAGATGCGAACGTTTCTGTTCTCCCAAGGGAAATGTTATTAATGGGTAGAACAATCCAAAATAAAGTTAGGGACTATCCTTTCCAAATAGATGAAATAACATATACTTCTTCGCCCCTATAATATCAGACTAAACAGGTGATGTCCTTGCTACTCCAAGTACTTCACTTTTTCTTCAGTTAACGCACAACCTACGTCTTGGTGTTATGATTAATATCCTCGGATATCTTTGAAAGTCAAGATATGTTTTATTAAATCATGAGGCAACACCCTTAGATTCTCTGATGAAATTCTGATTTCAGTTACTTATATGATGTTCCTCTAAGTTTGCCTGTGTTTGCTGGAAGTGGGAAAGGCAGCTGTAGTTTTTCAGGTTTTTTTTTCCCAGCCTGTAGCTCAGATGTGGCTCTGTCTGAGCAATGGGGTCACTCTGCAAACTCCCCAAGGCATCTTTCCAATCTGTGCCAGGATCGACATGACCAGAAGTGTGACTGTTTTGTTTTGTTGTTTTGCCACAGAATGGACTGTCCCCGCTTCACATGGCGGCCCAGGGGGACCACGTGGAATGCGTCAAACACCTCCTGCAACACAAAGCTCCCGTGGACGACGTCACGCTGGATTACCTGACCGCCCTCCACGTGGCCGCACACTGCGGCCACTACCGCGTCACCAAACTCCTCCTGGACAAGAGAGCAAATCCCAATGCTCGCGCCCTGGTAAAACTGTCCCACCCATGTCGTGTAACAAAGCTGTCCAGGGCAAGATGAGTAGCTCTTCCCAGTAAAGCTAAGTGAAACCTGTCAGGAAATTCAACAACCTTAAGCAGGTGCAGTAACACCAGGGGTTGTCACACCTGCTGGCTACCAGTAGTGTCTCTCGTATCATTAGGCCTAGTCGTGGCAAGTGGCTGTAGTGTCAGGTGTGGAAGTTCCTAAAACTGGAGCCGTTTCTAGGTGGTGCTAACGTGGGCATCGGTGTTTTCCTGAATGGATGGTGATAGGCAAATAATTTCTAAGCTTTCAGCAAGTTAATTCCGCAGAGGAAAAGTGTTGAAAATCTAGTATTTCTGCATGTATCAAATTATGACGTTCTCCTCTGTTAGGCGCCACTTTTATTTTTCCTTTTCAAAAAAACAGTTCTTCTGATGCTTACAGGAAAACAGGTACGATTCCTTTCACTTCCTGATCAGACCATTATCCCCTCACCGAGCGAAAAAACTTCCTATTTGCCTTTGGGAGTATATAAAACTCTCAAGCCTTTAATCTCTCCAAACCCAGACAAGTTTCCAAATTTATCCAGATGGAAGTTCAAATCCCAGCTGGGGAAAAAAAGAGGCTGTCGACCCTTTTTTTCCACTCTCTTGTTTCCTCTCCCATCAGGGACTTGTTGCCTCTGGCTTGTTTATAGTATTTAATATGTTAAGTGATGCTTATAATTTCTGTTAGTGATACGGGTTTTTTTTCTGCCTTCTCCTCTCCCCCACCAAAATGGTCCTCAGTTAAATAGAAAAGGCAAAATTAAATCAACTCAGGCAGTAAAATCAAGGGAAACTGTGGAAACTTCTGAAACAGTAAAACTCCTTGTGAAATATATTGAGAGAGATTGTGTGGGAGGTAGAATATCTAATTGTTCTGATTCCTTCTTTAGAAATTGGACATGGCTAGTAGCAGTAGTAGAATTCATCGGATTGTTGTGATGGAATAAATTTACAGCTAGGTTTAAGAAATAAAATTGTTAATGTTGGCAGAATTATTTAGGGATACAAGCACTATATGAGCTCTTAGCTTTTTCAGTTTGTATATGCTTTAAAGCACCTGCAAATCAAGTAGTAATTAACATTTCCCTTAACAGAAGCTGACTGTAGAATAATCTGTCACGTGTCGCTTCCCATGAGCTAAGATTTCACTGATAAGTTCTGTTTACTGCTAGTTGGTTGTGTAGAAATACTGATCCTTTCTGTTAGAAAATATAACAATTTTTCTCTGCTTTTCACTAAAATGTTCACAGAGGGTGGATAATATCTTGGCTTAGCTTTAGGCACACACTTAACCCGCATTAACTAAAAGAGTACATAAAAAAAGCTTGAAGGCAAAGCATGTATTTCAGTGCAGAGCATGAAGATGTGCTTTGATTTGGGCACAAATCTTCCTGAGAGAAGCATTTCCAAAGAAATGAATGTGTGCTGACGGCAAGCACAACACTAAAACTATTGTCTGGCAATGCAGAATGCTAGGTTGCAATCCTGTCCCTACCTCATTTAATTTTAATCCAGACGAGGGCTGATGTTACAATGCTTTATGTCTCAGCAGGGCAAGAATAAAGGAAGGGGCTCCACAAATGAACAATTTGTATTACGAAACCATGGCTATTAGTGGTTATTTTTTTAAGATATCTCCTGGAATGCACACAGACAGGAATACAGGATACTGTAGATTGATGTATAAATGTAAAAAATAAATACACCTACATGGTTAGATTACAAGGTATTCTAAAAAAGACAAAAATAAGGTGGAATCTGGATGAAGTATTCCTTTTCCTAGAGAGGTATAGAATATGCTGTGTACATTTGAAAAGAGACTAACTGATTTCCAAGCGGTCACTACAACTTCTTCCCTTTTCTTCGCGTTTCTCTCCACTGCCTGAGAAGAAAGCAGGGGCCCTGCTTTGTTCTACCCGGGCCCGCCGGGAGATGTCTGTAGTTCGTAACCTGTTGTGCCTTAAAGAGCAGTTGCTTCTGGTACTCTAACACTTCTGCTCCCGGTGTGCCAGCCCGTTTTTTAGCGTAGCTGCATGTTTTTAACTAACATGACTGTCTTTTGCACAGAATGGTTTTACTCCACTGCACATTGCCTGCAAGAAAAATCGCATCAAAGTCATGGAACTCCTGGTGAAATATGGGGCTTCAATCCAGGCTATAACAGAGGTAGCAAAATGTTTCGTGTCCTGAAGAAACATTCCTTCTTTTCACCCTTCTTGCTTCTTTTTTCCCCCCTCTCTCCTGTCATGCCTCACTCTCACTTATGTTTTATTTAAACGAAGCAGCCCCTTCCCTACGCCCCGTGCAGAGGAGTAAAACTGCTCTTGCTTTGTTTCGCAGTCGGGCCTCACACCAATACACGTGGCTGCATTTATGGGCCACTTGAACATAGTCCTCCTTCTGCTGCAGAACGGAGCCTCTCCCGATGTCACTAACATTGTGAGTATGGCTTGGACTAGAATCCTCCTCCCCAAAGGGTCTGACCTACCACGTAGCTCAACCAAAGGTCACGTTTTCATGATTCTTGACGACTTTGGGGCCTTTTAGGACAAATTATTCTAGCACCTTGAGGTAAGAAGGGAAAACGGTGACTGCATTTGCATTATAAGCCGCCTGTGGTTTCATGGATTCTTCCGTAATGCTTGAGAAGGTAAAGTTTCCCTTAGCAACAGACAAAGCTCACGAAATCCATCCAAAACTGATTATAAGTCGAGTCTCAGGGAAGACTGTGCTTCCGTTCTGAAGGATGAAATTTTAATCCAAATGGCTCTAATTTCTGCTTGCGTAGCTTCGCTGGCTGCCCTGAAATTGTGTCGTTTGTATCGGTGAAAGGATACAAAACGCTTAAAGCCTAACAATTAAACGTAAAGGAAGAATGTAAAGCCGGAGATATTCCTCTTAGACAGGAAATTCCAGGAACTGGAGCCTTTGGAAAGAACATGCTTAAATCTAGAAAATGTGACCTTTGGGAGGTAACACAAAATGCAGAACCTGACTTACCATAGAAATCAGTGTTTGTATACCAATAAGACCAGTTACCAGGAAGAATAACAGTGAAAAGAACGTGATCGTTTTCTGCGCTGTATTTCATAGATATCTTGCTGTTCCAATTTGCCAGTAGAAACAAATATTCGACTTATGAAAACCTGTGCTTTGAAAGCAGCATTTTACCAGTAAATAATGTTGTAGGGAAGTGTTCCCAACAGCAAAACAGTGACAATAATTTAATAATCCAGGTACGCTGGACTCAACAGTTTTTTCCGTTAGAATACTCTTATATGGAAGCTAGTCAAAATGTTGAGCACACTGAGTTGTTTGCTTGAGTAGAACAGACTTTTCTTGACAAAGTCTTGTATCACTTTCATGCTTCTTAATAGAGGCAATCTTTATATAAAAACTTTATTGCTGAATTCTTGTGGAAGCAATTAAAAGTATTGTGTTACCGGACATTTGTGTGCGAAGTTTAACACTTCACAATTTATGCTACACAGGTGTCTTGGCTTTTACTTGGTAAGCTGAAGTTCCCTATTGAATTACTAACTGTTTCCAAAAGCTAAATTGCTTTGCGAATTCAATTACAAAAAGGTCTTGACAGAAATTTGGTCTTTCACTTGCGTGAAATGTAAACCTTATTCACATTTTAAACAGCTCGTTCTTCAGGTAATAACATTTATATTGGTGAAATTCTCTATTAATAAAGGTTTGTAGCGAGGGATGTGGGATTTTTTTGGTCGCCTACATGGTAATCACAGCTGGTAATACAATGTTAATTTTAAAATGTTGAGATAACCCAGTCTGTGGTGGAGTTGAAGTTCATGCTAGTAGACAAGCTCAGGCTACCTCATGTACCAGATAGCGGGGCTCGGACTGCCTGGGTCCAGTTCAGGACAGTGCAGAATTTAAGCCAGAAATGCTTTTGTCGAGGAATACTCACTTTCAGCATTCCTTTGCAAACCTGCGCAGTAAGTTAATGCTTCAAGTGTATCCACGCTTAATTATCATGATCCGAAATTCCCAGTCAGCTTTCCAAAATTTACGTCTCCTTCGAATTCCGTGTGCTGCTAAAGGCTGCAAACAAGATGAATTCCCCAGCCTGCAGACAGAGCACGGATTCTCCACCTCTCACATGCGGGCTTGGTTGTGCTCAGCCATTGCAAGACATCGAATAACGCTGCCAGCTCCGCACAGCGGGCGGGAAGAGAGCATCTGGAAAAACACGCCCTTGCATCTTGAGGCTCGTGTGCCTCGCAATCCCTCGAGAGAGACAGGCTCACCCTACTCTTACCTCCTGGGCATGCACAGGCTGATGCGCTGTTACGTAGGAAGCTGAGGAACATACGTGAGCGGGGGAGTCTGTATGGCAGAAGTTTCTTTAAGCCAGGATTTTACCCCGCTGAGCTGCCTGGTCCTGAGTGCGAAGCCAGAGTCTCAGCTGGTGGATGGGTGGGTCTCCACAACAGGCCGACCACGGGTGGAATTTACACCGTCGGAGCTCTGTTCCTCCGTGGAGCTTTAGGACACTGAAACGCTTTTGCTTTTCCGCAGCGTGGAGAGACTGCGTTGCACATGGCGGCACGTGCTGGGCAGGTGGAAGTAGTTCGCTGCCTCCTGAGAAACGGGGCCCTGGTTGATGCCCGAGCCAGGGTAGGTGTTCTGCTTGCAATATTTATGTTTGCTTTCTTTCACTCAAAAACAGAGTGGAGGAGCTAGAGAGGAGCGATTTCTTTTTCCTTTGACTTGTTGATTCAGTATTAAGCACACCTAAAACCAGTTCTGTAAAGAGTAACCAGCTACAGCTGGTCTCTCTGAGCAACGAGGTGCACAGCCTCGTCCTAAAACTGAACGTCGCAGGTTCCAGTAGAGGTTAGTGCCAGATTTTAAAACCCTTTGTAGATCAAGGCAGAACTGCTGTTAAAACAAATTAAGATCATAAAGGGCAGCAAGTGGTGCTCAGGGGGATGTGCATTATCTGGGTGATAAAAGGGAAAAACAATGGTTTTTTTCATGTTTCTCTTTGGTATAATATGACATTGCTGAAGCTCGTTGCTTTTTTTAAAGCCTTTTTTGGTGCTGTTAATTCCTGTAATTTTTTGCGAGACATAGCATAGGCAGATCTGTTGGGATTAACCAGAATTTTGCATTTGGGGTGGTTCTCCCTGCGCTGATTATCTACTCGATTTGAGTTGTAGGAAGAACAGACTCCACTGCACATTGCTTCTCGCTTGGGTAAAACGGAGATCGTCCAGCTCCTGCTCCAGCACATGGCCCACCCTGACGCCGCGACGACTAACGGGTACACGCCGCTGCACATCTCTGCTAGAGAGGGCCAAGTCGACGTCGCGTCGGTTCTCCTAGAGGCAGGTGCCTCGCACTCCATGTCCACCAAAGTAAGACAAAATTCTTTTGAGTCTCTATCACAGTAGCACAGGCAGCACATGCCAGCGCCGCCAGTTCCGTGAGGAACGTTGCTTTGACGCCAAGAAAGTGAACTAGTCCGGGTCTCTTTCGTTCTGACTTAATCAACAAGTGCTGAAGTAATGTATCAGCAGTTAATCAAATTTTGATTATAGTGAAATAATTCTGCTCTGTGTTTGCTGAAATGGAATGTTCCTAAAACACAAGTCAGCATCTGTCCAGTCGCATCTAATGTTGAATCTGTTTTCAGTGTTCTATAAATGAGGCATCATGTGACACAACAGGCTATTTTGTCTGAGCTTATAAGAAAAAAGAGTCTGCAAACTCATCATTGTTTTATTAACCAAAATGTTTACCCGTAGACTCCTGACAGAGTGATGAACACATGAGAAAATAGATAGTTGTGAACGAATTGCATGCCAAGATATCTTTTCCAAATGTATTGCATGTGATTAAGTGGGAATCACTCAATTCTCACTATTGTTTTAGGTCTTAAAAAAGTACCCCTGATTTTACAACTGGAGCTTAAAACATATTTTTGAACCATTGAGTGTCTTCCAGGGTTTAGAAGACTAAACCAGCAATTTTCAAATTACGATCCACGGATTACTGGGAGTGCTTGCTGTTCTCCTTTTATCCAGCTGTTAAATCACATTTAAATGGCTAAAAATAAACTAAATACTTTGCTAGTTTCCCATATTGCTTTATGGCAATTGCTTTAGTGCCGCAGGAACAAGGTCTAATTATGAATAGGAGAGGATGTACTCCACTAGATAATCTCTCTAGAAACCTGTGATTTCTGAACTGGAAATGTTTAAGATCCCCTGACGTAAACTCTTTCTGAGGTGGGATTAATGGAACAAGACGATAATGATAATAAATGTTACACGTCACTCAAATGTCAGGGAAATGGGTCATGGTAGCTCCCTGAGTTGCTGTCGGGGCAGCGGCGCACTCTGCCATCTACTGCCTGGTGTCTCTGAGTTTCCCTTAGCAGCCTGTCTTTTTTAAATTAAAAAAACGGGCAAAGAGCATGTTGGTTTGACACCTGTGGTCTGCTGAGAAGCATTATTCAAACAGAGAAGGACCCTTTTTAACAGACAGGATTTTTTTTCAGGCTTGCCACAAGCCAAAGCCCTGCTGTTGAGTCAGGCCTGAGGGTTTTTATTTGCAATTCAGCAGAACTGAGCGGCTGTGGATACATGAATCCAAATACAAATCACTCTTCAACAAACTCCGAAGGAGGAATACAAAGTTTGGAGCTTTTCTAACTGAATTGAATTGTTGTTTCACTGTTACTGGCAACAATTGATACAGGAAATATTTCTAAAGCTGTCGTCAGGGAACTACAAAGTGCAGCGGGTTTGGAATATAAATTTGATCAAGTGCTTTCGTCGCCCTCCCACCAGCACACATAGTGTATGTTAATGGTAGAGTCTGTATCAGATAAAATGTCTGCCTGCCTGACAGCACGTACGTAGGAAGGAATAATAAAAAGGGAAGTTTTTTCTTGTATTTTGCACTTTTCAAAGTGCTTTCAAGAGATGATGCTTTTTCCAGGTCCGGCTGTGGGATTCTGTGAGCTAGAATATAGGTTGAAGAGTAACCATTTAATATGTAGGTCTTGAAAAAGAGGCGTTTGGCCCTCACCTTTAACGCCAATATCTGGAATTTTCCAGAAGGGATTCACGCCTCTGCACGTGGCAGCCAAGTACGGGAGCCTGGAAGTGGCGAAACTCCTGCTGCAGCGGCGCGCCTCTCCCGATTCGGCTGGAAAGGTACTGCAAAGGAAGAAAAGTAAAATAAAAAAAAAAACCAACAAAAAGAAAAGCCAGCAGGGTCATGTACCCCCCCGGGGTTTGGGTCACTCTCCCCGCCTCAGCCTCACCCCTGTGGTTAACCTGGGGGGCGCTCTGAGGAGACAC